CCTTCCCCCTTGGTTCAGTGGATTCCTTCCACCTTGTTTCAGTGTATTCCTTCAACCTTGGTTCAGTGTATTCGTTCCCCCTTGGTTCAGTGGGTTCCTTCCACCTTGGTTCAGTGGATTCCTTCCCCCTTGGTGCAGTGGATTCCTTCCACCTTGGTTCAGTGGATTCCTTCCACCTTGGTTCAGTGTATTCCTTCCACCTTGGTTCAGTGTATTCCTCCCCCCTTGGTTCAGTGTATTCCTTCCACCTTGGTTCAGTGGGTTCCTTCCACCTTGGTTCAGTGGATTCCTTCCCCCTTGGTTCAGTGGGTTCCTTCCACCTTGGTTCAGTGGATTCCTTCCACCTTGGTTCAGTGGGTTCCTTCCACCTTGGTTCAGTGTATTCCTTCCCTTTTTGGTTTGAGTGGATTCCTTCCACCTTGGTTCAGTGGATTCCTTCCCCTTTGGATCAGTGTCTTCCTTCCCCCTTGGTTCAGTGTATTGCTTCCCCCTTGGTTCAGTGGATTCCTTCCACCTTGTTTCAGTGTATTCCTTCCACCTTGGTTCAGTGGATTCCTTCCCCCTTGTTTCAGTGTGTTCCTTCCACCTTGGTTCAGTGTGTTCCTTCCACCTTGTTTCAGTGTATTCCTTCCACCTTGTTTCAGTGGGTTCCTTCCACCTTGTTTCAGTGTATTCCTTCCACCTTGGTTCAGTGGGTTCCTTCCCCTTTGGATCAGTGTATTCCTTCCACCTTGGTTCAGTGTATTCCTTCCCCATTGGTTCAGTGGATTCCTTCCACCTTGGTTCAGTGGGTTCCCTCCCCATTGGTTCAGTGGATTCCTTCCACCTTGGTTCAGTGGATTCCTTACCCTTTGGATCAGTGTATTCCTTCCCCCTTGGTTCAGTGTATTCCTTCCCCCTTGGTTCAGTGGATTCCTTCCACCTTGGTTCAGTGTATTCCTTCCACCTTGGTTCAGTGGATTCCTTCCCCCTTGTTTCAGTGGGTTCCTTCCCCCTTGTTTCAGTGTGTTCCTTCCACCTTGGTTCAGTGTATTCCTTCCACCTTGTTTCAGTGGGTTCAGTCTACCTTGTTTCAGTGTATTCCTTCCAACTTGGTTCAGTGGGTTCCTTCCCCCTTGGTTCAGTGGATTCCTTCCACCTTGGTTCAGTGGATTCCTTCCCCTTTGGATCAGTGTATTCCTTCCCCCTTGGTTCGGTGTATTCCTTCCACCTTGGTTCAGTGGGTTCCTTCCACCTTGGTTCAGTGTATTCCTTCCCCATTGGTTCAGTGGATTCCTTCCATCTTGGTTCAGTGGATTCCTTCCCCATTGGTTCAGTGGATTCCTTCCACCTTGGTTCAATGGATTCCTTCCCCTTTGGATCAGTGTATTCCTTCCCCCTTGGTTCAGTGGATTCCTCCCTCCTTGGTTCAGTGTATTCCTTCCCCCTTGGTTCAGTGGATTCCTTCTACCTTGTTTCAGTGTGTTCCTTCCACCTTGGTTCAGTGTATTCCTTCCATCTTGTTTCGGTGGGTTCCTTCCACCTTGGTTCAGTGGATTCCTTCCACCTTGGTTCAGTGTATTCCTTCCACCTTGGTTCTGTGTATTCTTTCCACCTTGGTTCAGTGGGTTCCTTCCACCTTGGTTCAGTGGATTCCTTCCATCTTGGTTCAGTGTATTCCTTCCACCTTGGTTCTGTGTATTCCTTCCACCTTGGTTCAGTGTATTCCTTCCCCCTTGGTTCAGTGGGTTCCTTCCACCTTGGTTCAGTTGATTCCTTCCACCTTGGTTCAGTGGATTCCTTCCACCTTGTTTCAGTGTATTCCTTCCACCTTGGTTCAGTGTATTCCTTCCCCCTTGGTTCAGTGGGTTCCTTCCACCTTGGTTCAGTGGATTCCTTCCCCCTTGGTGCAGTGGATTCCTTCCACCTTGGTTCAGTGGATTCCTTCCACCTTGGTTCAGTGTATTCCTTCCACCTTGGTTCAGTGGATTCCTCCCCCCTTGGTTCAGTGTATTCCTTCCACCTTGGTTCAGTTGGTTCCTTCCACCTTGGTTCAGTGGATTCCTTCCCCCTTGGTTCAGTGGGTTCCTTCCACCTTGGTTCAGTGGATTCCTTCCACCTTAGTTCAGTGGGTTCCTTCCACCTTGGTTCTGTGTATTCCTTCCCTTTTTGGTTTGAGTGTATTCCTTCCACCTTGGTTCTGTGGATTCCTTCCCCTTTGGATCAGTGTATTCCTTCCCCCTTGGTTCAGTGCATTCCTTCCACCTTGGTTCAGTGGATTCCTTCCACCTTGTTTCAGTGTATTCCTTCCACCTTGGTTCAGTGGATTCCTTCCACCTTGTTTCAGTGGGTTCCTTCCACCTTGTTTTAGTGTGTTCCTTCCACCTTGGTTCAGTGTATTCCTTCCACCTTGTTTCGGTGGGTTCCTTCCACCTTGGTTCAGTGTATTCCTTCCACCTTGGTTCAGTGTTATCCTTCCACCTTGGTTCTGTGTATTCTTTCCACCTTGGTTCAGTGGGTTCCTTCCACCTTGGTTCAGTGGATTCCTTCCATCTTGGTTCAGTGTATTCCTTCCACCTTGGTTCTGTGTATTCTTTCCACCTTGGTTCAGTGGGTTCCTTCCACCTTGGTTGAGTGGATTGCTTCCATCTTGGTGAAGTGGATTCCTTCCACCTTGGTTCAGTTGGTTCCTTTCACCTTGGTTCAGTGGATTCCTTCCATCTTGGTTCAGTGGATTCCTTCCACCTTGGTTCAGTGGATTCCTTCCACCTTGTTTCAGTGTATTCCTTCCACCTTGGTTCAGTGGGTTCCTTCCCCCTTGGTTCAGTGGATTCCTTCCACCTTGGTTCAGTGTATTCCTTCCACCTTGGTTCTGTGTATTCCTTCCACTTTGGATCAGTGGGTTCCTTCCACCTTGGTTCAGTGGATTCCTTTCATCTTGGTTCAGTGGATTCCTTCCACCTTGGTTCAGTTGGTTCCTTTCACCTTGGTTCAGTGGATTCCTTCCATCTTGGTTCAGTGGATTCCTTCCACTTTGGTTCAGTGGATTCCTTCCACCTTGGTTCTATGGATTTCTTCCCACTTGGTTGAGTGTATTCCTTCCACCTTGGTTGAGTGGATTCTTTCCCCCTTGGTTGAGTGGATTCCTTCCACCTTGGTTCAGTGGATTCCCACTCCATTGGTTCAGTGGATTCCTTCCCCCTTGGTTCAGTGGATTCCCTCCCCATTGGTTCAGTGGATTCCTTCCACCTTGGTTCAGTGGATTCCTTCCCCACTGGTTCAGTGGATTCCTTCCCCTTTGGATCAGTGCATTCCTTCCACCTTGGTTCAGTGTATTCCTTCCACCTTGTTTCAGTGTATTCCTTCCACCTTGTTTCTGTGGATTCCTTCCACCTTGGTTCAGTGGGTACCTTCCCCCTTGGTTCAGTGGATTCCTTCCAACTTGGTTCAGTGTATTCCTTCCACCTTGGTTCAGTGTATTCCTTCCCCCTTGGTTCAGTGTATTCCTTCCCCCCTTGGTTCAGTGTATTCCTTCCACCTTGGTTCAGTGGATTCCTTTCCCCTTGTTTCAGTGGGTTCCTTCCACCATGGTTCAGTGTATTCCTTCCCCTTTTGATTTGAGTGGATTCCTTCCACCTTGGTTCAGTGGATTCCTTTCCTTTTGGATCAGTGTATTCCTTCCCCCTTGGTTCAGTGTATTCCTTCCCCCTTGGTTCAGTGGATTCCTTTCCCCTTGTTTCAGTGTATTCCTTCCACCTTGGTTCAATGGATTCCTTCCCCCTTGTTACAGTGGGTTCCTTCCACCTTGTTTCAGTGTATTCCTTCCACCTTGGTTCAGTGTATTCCTTCCACCTTGTTTCAGTGTATTCCTTCCACCTTGTTTCAGTGTATTCCTTCCACCTTGGTTCTGTGTATTCCTTCCACCTTGGGTCAGTGGATTCCTTCCACCTTGGTTCAGTGGATTCCTTCCATCTTGGTTCAGTGGATTCCTTCCACCTTGGTTCAGTTGGTTCCTTTCACCTTGGTTCAGTGGATTCCTTTCACTTTGGTTCAGTGGATTCCTTCCACTTTGGTTCAGTGGGTTGCTTCCACCATGGTTCAGTGGGTTCCTTCCACCTTGGTTCAGTGGGTTCCTTCCCCTTTGGTTCAGTGTATTCCTTCCCCCTTGGCTATGTGGGTTTCTTCCCCATTGGTTCTTTGGATTCCTTCCCCCTTGGTTCAGTGGGTTCCTTCCACCTTGGTTCGGTGGATTCCTTCCACCTTGGTTCAGTGGGTTCCTTCCACCTTGGTTCGGTGGATTCCTTCCACCTTGGTTCAGTGGGTTCCTTCCACCTTGGTTCAGTGGGTTCCTTCCACCTTGGTTCAGTGTATTCCTTCCACCTTGGTTCGGTGTATTCCTTCCACCTTTGTTCAGTGGGTTCCTTACCCCTTGGTTCTGTGGGTTCCTTCCCCCTTGGTTCTGTGGATTCCTTCCCCCTTGGTTCAGTTGGTTCCTTCCACCTTGGTTCGGTGGATTCCTTCCTCCTTGGTTCAGTGGGTTCGTTCCACCTTGGTTCAGTGGGTTCCTTCCACCTTGGTTCAATGGATTCCTTCCCCCTTGGTTCAGTAAACTCCTTCCTTCTGAGGTAGTTTTGTAGATCAACGAATATCATACAGAACAATACTATGATATTTGTCTTTAAAGAAAAGTAACAGTTTCAACGATCAAGCAATCACTTTGTCTTGGCCTTATATTATCTACTGATAAACGATATCGCCGTATGTACTGAGAACTAAACTGATGCCTAATATGATATTCTTTAGACACTCACATTGCAGTAATATTTTGTATTTTTTCTTCACAAACGCCTTCGGTTCTCTTTATAAGTGTTGGGTATAGATACTATAGCAGTTAATAAGGTGACCTCAGCCACAATCATTTCAGTAAGACGATACCTCCGAGGAGGCTGTATCACATTTCTGATAACCGTCACATGGTTGTAGGTGCGCCACGTTACATTGCACTAGCGATACGTGAAAGGTATAGACCGCTGTTATCCACACCTACCGCTTACGGATTCTACATTCAGGTCTTTTGTAATGTTTAACGCAAAATGTTTCACAAATTAGATAGACGTGTGTGAGGACAGCGTACAAGTTTTAGTCAACAGTTGTCCAGGTTCCACCATGAGACTCTCAGTTCTCTGGCTTCAGGTTCTAGGCTGCGTCCCGTGGTCTGTGCTGTCCGCGCCAGAGGTCAACGCTACGTGGGGACAGATACAAGGTGTGGATAAAGTTAGCAAAGATGGACTTCCGTACTTTGGTTACTATGGAATACCATACGCGAAACCCCAACAGGCAATCTGAGGTTCAACAAACCGGAACGTCACACTGGAGTAAACGATGTGTTCAATGCAACAGCGTATGGTTATGCGTGTCCATCATTCAAATATATGAACTTAAACCTCTCAGATGAGGACTGTCTCACGTTGAATGTATTCCTGCCCGATTCCACTGTGTGGTCGACTCAAACGCCCGTGATGGTGTGGATACACGGAGGGGGGTTTATGTCTGGCGCTGCTGTAGAGTATGAGCCATGGAAACTGGTGACTGAGACCGGAGTCATCGTCGTCACCATCCAGTACAGGCTGGGAATATTCGGGTTCATCAGTACCGGAAATGACGTCGCACCTGGTAACTACGGATTATGGGATCAGCATCTGGCACTCCAGTGAGTCAAAACCAATATTGAAGCTTTTGGTGGTGACAGTAGCAACATCACCATCATTGGAGAATCTGCAGGGGCGGCGAGTGTTGCGTATCACGTGCTGCACCCGGAGTCAAGGGGACTGTTCCAGAGAGCAGTTCTACAGAGTGGAGCTGCCACGCCTGTCTGGGCGTACAAAAGAAACCCAATGGCGACGCTGATGCTTGTCGCCAAGGCTGCTGATTGTATGACCGATTCCTTTGCTAAGCCGAGCGACATAATGACATGTCTGCGAACACAATCCGTGGACAAACTTCTTCGTTCTTCTGTGATAAACAGTTCAATGGCACATAACCTGTTGGTCCTGTCATGGCTGCCAACAAAGGATGGAAAGTTTATACACGATGAACCAGCGAAACTCATGTTGAACCACACGTTTCTGTCCAGTACCGTCCTGAAAGACGTTGACGTCCTAGTAGGCGTCAATAACAACGAAGGGGGGATCCTGTATGATCTTGCTGTTATGTTTGACAGGTTACTGAACACAACATATGTCAAACAGCTATTCCAACCAGCGCCATACGACACAGACGTCCTGCCAATGGTAACTAATCTGACGTTAGGACATCACGACCCACACGTCGATGATGTCATTGGATTTACATACACCTATCTACGCCCTAATGCTACTATGAGTCTACCACAGTACCAGGTCTTCGAGACCTACGGAGATCCGGCATTTTACGTGCCAGCCATATTGTTTTCCAGAGTTCATGACATGTTCAAGACAGACAAGAAAACCTACTTGTATTTATTTGACCATTACCCGTCGTTCACAAGAGACTCTCCAGTGAAAGGGATGATGCACGGTATGGACATCCGGTATCTGTTTGGTCAGCTGGACTCCAACAATACAAACATCACAAGTGAGGAGTATCAGCTGGCGGACAAGTTCACAGCATTCATCGGGGCCTTTGCAAAATCGGGGTGAGTGTGTGCCGCTTTGCTAATGTCCTGAAATGATTATTGCTTGAGATGTGTATTTGTTTGTATACACTTCCTAAATAATTCAGATAGGCATGTAAGATACAGAATCCGGGAATTATAGAACGTATCTATCTATCTAACCTCCCGGGCAATAAAAGAATACACCATGTTTTGTGGTGGCTGATAATGAAACAAACCTCTTTAATCATTATTTGTGACATGTTTGTATATTTGTGCAGTGAATAATTACTCTCTTACTTTGAAAGTTGTTTTTGTTTCAGTGATCCTAATTCAGTGCTGGAGACACAGTTAGCTATGCCATGGCCTGAGTTTGACGTCTCAAATGAATACTATCTGTCTTTCAACGTCAATATGTCAATCGGACGTCACCTTTACTCCAAAAGAGCCTCGCTTTGGCTTGATCTTGTCCCAAGGCTGAATGAAGGGCCATCGCCAGTTTTGCAACCAACAACGCATTCATCCGCCCCAACATCGTCACCACCGTCACCAGGGTGCCCTGACAACTCAAGAGTTGCAGTCATAGCGATGGGCTCCTCACTCGGCGCGTTGACCGTTGTACTGGTTGTAACTGTAACGTGCTTTTGCATCAAGAGTCGTTCCTCTCACGACCAACAGAGCTTCTCTCTCTACTGAATGAACATATCGCCAGCAGCCGTGGATATTGTGGAACTAAAACTAGCATTTCCCTTTGAAACCTTAGAGACTATCCTTGTAAAACTTTCTTTAATGGCCCATGCATGATACAATCTCTGATATAATTAACGTGGATATTGTGCTCTAACGGTAAATTGAAGTACAGTAAAGTATTCAAGCATAGGCAAATGCACTGAATATTTATGAAGGTAATTAAAACCACTAAAAGTTTTATGTATGTCAAATGATTTTGACCGTAGGTGGAATGTAAGAGTCGATAAGAGAGTGGGGAGTAGCTGTAGGATTTTGGTAAAATGGATACATGCATATCACAAAACATGTCGTACAAGAGTGAGCGAACATTCCTGCGCTGGGCAACTCTTCTAGCAGTATATCCAGCTCAGGTGTCTGTGTCAGTGATGTCACAGAGTTAACGAGCATCCCCAGCAGGTCTTGATTTAGCCCATGTCTACACGGGGATCCACCTGGCCGACCAGGGAACAGTAATTGTTTCAAGAGACCGAACTCCTGGGCGCCTGGAGAATGTCTGCATAGGTGAGGTGTCGCCTCAATACAGTGGCTTGTATATTGAATAAGTTGGCTGTTCATCATACCGTTGTAACTTACATCGCAGTAAAAACCAAGAGGATTTTCAGATATGACGAGTCTGTGAGTGCCTGGATAACGGCACATACAATGTAGAACATGTGTTAATATGCATTAAAATATGAATTATATTATTGGGCTGAGTTGATGTTAAATATTTTTTATTGTATCATATATGATAGCTTAGCGGCAAATCGCAAAGAACAATGAAGAACGAAGCGTGGTTTATTTCACGATAAAACATTGTTCAATCTTGCCGTCATTTCTGGAGATTCGAACATGCGCTCGCAACTTGATCACGTCGTAAAATAGACGACGCTATTGTTGAGAGGGAAATGTTGCTTCCCATAGGGGTAGCTGGACAGTGCAGATGAACGCAGTGACCGAACGATTGCATCCAAAAGTAGGAAAGATATGATAATCGGTATTGGGAGAAAAGGTGCAGATAATCGACGTGAAACATGTAAGAATATGCGGGGAAAACCAAATTTACTCCCCCTGTTTATAAATTGGACTTGTCTATTGGACTCTATTCAGGGAGTCATCATTATTTAAATACGGGTAAATATGTTTCAACCGTGTACGTTTTACTAAGATCCTTAAACAGCCTGTACCTAATGTTAATATCTCATTTAAGAAATAAACGACGAGTTGTTTATCGTACAATAAAACACTGCAGGGAGAATAAACCCTGAGATGCTGCTCTCCCTCAGTGTTTTATTCTTTTAAACTTCTCTAGGACTGACAATGAGGCACTTCTTGTTATTTGTATGAAATAACAATCATGACCCTCCCTTCATCCTCAGGTCACCAATGATCTGGGCCAGGGCGACTATTAAGTCAGGCTTGTAAGAACGACGGGTTGGTTCTCCCTCCCCTGTAAGAGACATTCAAGAGGTAACATCATGTACAACGAGAGGTTAACGTGTGTCAACAAGATTATGAAAGTTTTATTTATTATGTTTGTTGTTCTATACTGAGGCCTGCACATACAGCTAAACACCGACGTAAATACTTCGAGTTATCCGAGGTTCGGCACAACCGAAAATGATGAATAAAGAAGGAATTCGTAGGGACCAAACTTTTATTTCGAGACAACCGTAATTTAGACACAACGGTGTTTGACTGTAATCGAGTCTGGACAGGACACACCAGTGCTGGATATAACGAGCAACGTCCCAAGTCATTCCCAGACATACAGACGCATGAACATGGCGTCCTCATAACAATATGCAGATAGATTAACCTTTAGGATTACAAGAAAACATTGACGCAGATCGTCAATATTCCCCATCCATATGTGATGACACAGAAATGCATAATTATGACGTTACTATTTAATGCATGGCAAAGTTAACGGGAGAAAATGTACCTGACACACGGAGCTCCTGCATGGCAGAAGTAAAAGGCATGAAGCTGAATGATTATATTTACCACAAATAAGACAAGGCTTGCATAAATAGTAAACAATATTTATTATAAGCCCCAGTTGCATATGATAGCTGTAGTTTAAGGAAAGTAAATCGTATGAAATGGCAGCAGTTCCTGGCACAAAAATAAACATGTGGAAAATGCTCGGAAACAGCCAAGAATAAAGGCAGATGCATGTAATCAAGTGATATGATAACATGGTCTTTGCACTTTATTATACATTTGATCATAATGTACATGAACAAATCTACGGAGTCAACAACCCCTATGCTCCACTGACTTCATTCGAATGCATATTGTTCATCAAGATAACACGTGAAATAGATATAGATATGTTCAATGTTTTCTCCAAACTACCAGCTACTCCAGCATCATCTGTGGATCATTTTCAACAGATTCCAATGGCGACAACAAGTATGGTATGTACATGCTAAATCTTTTGTGTGAAATGGTTACAGTGAGTAGCTTGAAAGTGATTGGTACTCTCTATATTTTTGCACTGGTGTTCTGAAAAGACTATAAAGGTCGAACCATGATGTTTGTTTGTTGTTTAAGTCACACTTAGCAATATTCCAGCTTCATGACGGAGGTCAGTTAATAATCGAGTCTAGACCAGACACTCCAGTGACTGACCTCGTGAGCATCGATATACGCATTTGTGAAAAGAGGGTATGCAGTAGATTTTATTAATGATCGATTGATGAGTGTAGATGGATCATTTCAAATTGTCAATTATGTGAGGTAGTTTTCAGTCCTTGAATCTTTTTTGTGTATGCACCTCACTGTCTTGTTTACTGTGCAGTATATGTAGCTGAAGGACTGCGTGACAACAATGTACCTCGTGATAGATAACTTTGTCAGCGAAGGAATATTTAATGAATATTATACCGCCTTTGTGTAAACTTAACATGCCTGACTTCTTGACGTTCTAGAAGTTTCGGGATGGGGCAGTTTCTAGAAGGCTGCCTGTACCTATACAAAAGCACCACGACGGCGATTCGATGCATTTTACATCCTGACTTGCGGATGGGATACTTACCTAAAACCCGAATTCCTTCCAGGTTCCAACACTATTCCGAACTCATAAACAGAGAGATGCCTGTTTCACGACATTCCACAGTGAAAAATACAAATGTGTCAAGGGTATTTATTATAAGAAAATGTAGATGCGCTTCAGTGGGACATAAAGAGTGCGTATAGAGCTTCAGAAATTCAACCACAACACGTTCCCGATAAAGACAAGCATTGAGATACACAAACAGGTCGATATATTCAAGTATTTGTCAACATGAGTGACGACTATGATCCCCATGTCTTTGAAGAAGTTCGCCGGTGAGGTTGACTTGCACCGTTGGAAACATTCCGTGATCACCACGGTCGCATCATCAATGGACACAGCGCCCTGGCAAACGTTGTACCCAGAACGGATGTCACGCTCTCCAGATAACGGTAAATCCACATCAAGGGGACGATTAAGTTTATTCGTTAATCTTCTGATTACTGTATGATTTTACCAAGTTGTCTACCGATGACATGCCGGTATTATTCTTGCTGATTATCTCGAACCTTCCGAAAACAGGCCCTGAGCTATAGCTTACGTAGAGATGGAAATTAACTGCGCATTCTCTTCAAATACTCCCCCCCCCCCCCCCCCCCCCCCCCACACACACACACACACACACCCAACCCCAAAGAACAATACAACGAACTTCGAGTCATTCAATAGGCTCCCACATGGTCCATCCGATGTCTCACCCGATGCTGCGACCGACGACTGTATCTGGGATGTCACAGCTACTGATGCATGGAAGCAATGCCTATCATTCTGTTGTCGATCCATACATCTTTAGACCCAGTGGTGCTTGACGTTTTCGACAAATATATTAAGTTTTTCACTAATATGAGTTTTTATTGTGTTGGTATGTGATTAAAGAAATCAATTTGATGTACACAAAAATCGTGTACTTTCATCTGGGGTAGCATAGTTCAGTGGGATATATAGGTGATGGAGTGCATTATTATCACCATAAGCATGATCGTCAACTGATTATTTGGCTGTGATAAAAACTTGAAGCTCAGTTGTAAATACCCCTGAGATCTGTTGGTCTCATTTTACTGTATATCCTTCCAGTCCGTGTTTCCTCCGCTTCAAACAGCAGCACACTGATAATGTAACCAGCAACATGCCGACGACACACAGAGTTACGATGAGGGCCAGGATAGTCACTTCGGCCGTGTGAGGGTCTAGCCCGAACCATGTAGGGGCAGATGTAGTTGCTTTTGAAGTGGATGTAGATGACGTGGAAGCTGTAGATGTAGTCGGGATGTTCACGAGGTTCGGGATGATGTCCAGCCACAGGGTCACTCGCCTGGGGTACACGTGGTCACCTACTGACATGTTTGTTGTGAAGGACAGGTAACGCTGGTCGTACATCTTGTACTCGGGCCATGCCTGACCAAGCTTTTCTTCAACAGTAGGACTGGGGTCACTGTGAAAATAAAGTCAATACTTTGAAATACAGATGAATAAAGGCCTGTTTATTCCTCGCAATTGAGGGAATGTAAAAATATTGCGGTATTTATAAATACAAGGTCATTTGTTATTCCATTGTGATGGAAAAAACAGTTCATGTTTTACTTAATAAGTGTCGGCTGATGACATATCCTACATGACGATTATGGAAATGAAACGATGACGTCATCATAAGGCGAGTTATTTACCCTGTCTTGGCAAAGTCAGCAATGAAAGAGACAAATGTATCTGCCAGCTCATACTCCTCTGACGTCAGGTTCCCTGTGTAGCCAAGTATCTTGACTGTGGCCGGGTCCAGGTCAAACAGATACAAGGTGTCCGTTCCATGGCTCATACCTTTCACAGGGCTCTCTCTGGCGAAAGATGGGTAGTGATTAAACAGGTAGAAATAACACCTCCTGCTGGTGTTTAACAATGCGTGCGTCCTGGCAAAGAGCAGTCCCGGTATCAAAAAGCTGGGGTCACCGTAGGTTGAAAGCACCTGTTGTTGAGGTAGGGGCTCGTCAGATGGTGGTCGCGGGTATGTGTACTCCACACTGACGATATCATTGATGGATGGAGGGATAGCTGCTAATGCCAATGATGTAACTGTTGGAAGAATATCTGTATCAAACTCCTTCTGCTTGAAGATATCGGTTGCGTATGTGTAGCCATACGCCTTGTCGAATGCTAGAGCTGTCGTCAGCAGAAGTCCCCCTTCGTTGTTGTTAGCCCCTACCATTACGTCGATGTCCTTGATACACGTGGTATTTAAGAAAGTGATGTCACTCATTAATACCTGTGGATCGTCTTTGACAAAGGTTCCATCAATGGTCGGGACCCAAGTGTACTGCATTAGCTCGTAGGCTGGTGTCCCTCCAACATACGAAAAGGCTAACACTCTCATACTATCGTTCTTCCTCATACAGTCTACCATTGCCTGTTGTCTACTCATTATATCAGGGCCATCACCGAGGCAACCTAAACTGCTTCCAACAAACATTGACAAAAACGTGACATGTCTGTTGATCGCCCAGAGAGACGTGGCAGCTCCGCTCTGTAGAACTGCTCTCTGGAACAACCCCTTTGACTCTGGGTACAGCACGTGATACGCGACACTCGCCGCCCCTGCAGATTCTCCAATGATGGTGATGTTGCTACTGTCACCACCAAAAGCTTCAATATTGTTCTTGACCCACTGCAGTGCCAGGTGCTGATCCCATAATCCGTAGTTACCAGGTGCGACGTCATTTTCGGTACTGAAAAATCCGAATATCCCCAGCCTGTACTGGATGGTGACGACGATGACGTCACCTTTTGTCACCAATTGCCAAGGCTCGTACAAAGAAGCGGCTCCATACACAAACCCTCCCCCGTGGATCCAGACCATCACAGACACGCTGGACGATACCTCAGTTGTGTTGGGCAGAAACACATTCAGGGTGAGACAGTCTTCACTCATGGCTGGAAAGGAGATGTTTAGAGGGAGCATTGGTGATTGCTGAAGACATGGCAGTCCATAGCTGGAAGCATTAAATATGGATATGGAAACTCCTGGATGTGCTTTGGGTTTTCTGAATCTGAGATCTCCCACTGGAGGTGTCGCGTACGGGATTCCGTAGTAGCCAAAGTAAGGTAGTCCGTCTCTACTGGTTCTCGTGACGCCTTGTATACGTCCCCAGGTTGCATTTATCACTGGTGCCTCCCTCCCCATCACAGGGAGGATCAACAAGGCCACAATAATCAGCTGATCCATTTGAAAAGTTTGGTAGATCGAACAACAAACTGACTTTCATCAGTTTCAGTTACTATCCCGTCGCTCCTCGCCTGTGCTTCTTGACCCTGATCTTGACTATTGCGAAATGTCGTTTTCTGTAATCACTGTTCGGAAAATTTACAATGTAACGTATACGAGAGTAAGGTGTTGCAGGGATTTAGATGTGAAACTTGTATTCATATAACGACCTATGCTCGCAATGTACACAGTCCGCACAATCTACTCTCACGGCCCTGTATCATGCGTGCGTGGGTGGTGTGTACCTTGCGGGTATACGGGAGAGTCAGGTGACTTGTTATCTGGCAGAAAGTGTACGTGACATATCGTCTCTGGACACACGGTGGGCGGAGCGTCCTTTCCAGCCTGAAGTCCAAAGTATTTGTAAATATTGACCTTTTTATCGTTATCTTTATCATAAACACAGCCTGTCGATTGATACCGGTTGGGGTTGGCTGCCCTCCCGGTGTTTTATATGTGACGCCTCACCCAGTCGTTCTACGGACGTCACATGCCTTACGTCATACCCAGCAGTTCTACTGACGTTATATACTGAGCGTCATACCCAGTAGTTCTACTGACGTTATATACTGAGCGTCATACCCAGTAGTTCTACTGACGTTATATACTGAGCGTCATACCCAGCAGTTCTACTGACGTTATATACTGAGCGTCATACCCAGCAGTTCTACTGACGTTATATACCTCGCGTCATACCCAGCAGTTCCACTGACGTTATATACTGAGCGTCATACCCAGCAGTTCTACTGACGTTATATACTGAGCGTCATACCCAGCAGTTCTACTGACGTTATATACCTCGCGTCATACCCAGCAGTTCTACTGACGTTATATACTGAGCGTCATACCCAGCAGTTCTACTGACGTCATATACCTAGCGTCATACCCAGTGGTTCTACCGACGTCATATGCCTCGTGTCATATCCAGCCGCTCTTCGTGAGATACATGCTTTGTTGGCTATGTGACGTGTGGTAAGTCATCGATCGTCCATTATCATATCTTCCCTTGATGAGGTGACATGGTATGTAATTACTCCGTGGATTTCCCACCTCACACGTTTAAAGTATTATCTTTCAAACGAATGTGCAGTGGGAATTGCACGGAACAGTTTCGTGCAAAGATTGGGTGTTTTGAAGCATCACAGCACTAGTGGTGGATATTGTGTCAAATAAGTCGGGACCCGTGAAGATCCGGGTTGCAATAGGTCTTCGGCAACCCATGCTTGCCGTAATAGGCGACTATGCTTGTCATTATAGGAGACTAACGGGATCGAGTGGTCAGGCTAGCTGACATGGTTGATGCACACCATGGTATCCCAGTTTGCGTAGATCATGCTCATAATATCAATCACTGGATTTTCTGGTCCAGATTGGATTATTTACAGACCGCTGTCATATAGTTGGAGTGTGACGTTGAACATCAAACAAACAAATAAAATAAGTCGGAGGGCTGCCATGTCTCACATGGCGAGCATGGCTACACGTATCTCGGTATTTATCGTATTCTTGTTGTTGCGAGCTGGGCTGGAGGTGAAGAGCAACAGCTACAGCTGACAAGTACAGACCCCAAAAATCCGAAAGGTGACCCGGTTTCGATGCAAGCCAAGCATTGACACCTGATAATGGATTTATTATTTGCCATTGTTTTGACATTTTGTGGACTTCCCGAAATCCTAAGCAGCTGTTCGAAAGGGGAACATTGAGTCTGCATTCCCGGGTATCTCTATTTATTCGAGTCCCCGAGATTTTAACTGCAGAGGAGGCGTGGCAGTCGGAGTGCGCTCATCATTGGCGCTTATGATTATAGTTTGAACGATAACAATAGATTTATTTGAGGTTTGGAAGATATGAACTATAACACTGATACATTTCTTGAGGTGATGTATGGAATGACTACGTGAAGGACCGCATAGTCTTATGCTGTATATTTGAAATTCAAATGCTATATGGTAGATTCCCTGGAAATATGGAAGGTACATTACACGTGTTAAGGAAAATGGTACTAGTGGGGTTGACTTTATTTTGTGTTAATAATGTGCATGGTTTTGAACGTCCATACTCGTTGCGAATGATACAATTTCCAAAAAGTGTTCAACAGTGTTGACAGAAATGTTACTGAAGACCGTCAAGAAGAGACGTTTATGAACATACCAAGATTTAGATGGAAAAATCACATTAGTGTTATTTTCAATGCTGAGATGTTTGATTTGCTGTCTGCCTTTAGCCTTGATCAGTGTTCTCAGTTGTTAACAGCGAACGTCGATCTCGCTGTCAATTACCGAGACATTACAAACCTGCGCTTCGGCATGTGGCTGTATGGTGTGACTAGGCAAGTGACCTACAAGTTAAGCATTGCAATGCTACACGTTATGACCAAGCTGTATGGTGTGACGAGGCAAGTTGTATACAAGTTAATCATTGCAATGCTACACGGGATGACCAAGCTGTATGGTGTGACGAGGCAAGTGGTATACAAGTTAATCATTGCAATGCTACACGGGATGACCAAGCTGTATGGTGTGACGAGACATGTGGCCTACATGTTAATCATTGCAATGCTACACGGGATGACCAAGCTGTATGGTGTGACGAGGCAAGTGAACAATTTAACGAGAAGTGGGGATATTAACGAATTATCTCAAATTGCAAATTAGGAAACAGTTATAGAAGGCTATGCAGTGAGGAGAAAACTGATCGTGAAGAAATAACAATAAACGAACTCATACCAAACAGCGATGGAAATAACAGTAATGACTTACTAATTCTGGTACTTCTGCTGAAAACTGTGTCCCTATCATCAATAGAAAATACATAGTAATTGTGAAGCCTGCTGAAATATACTGCCAAGTTGTGTATTTGATTGAAATGCAGCACGTTAACATGGAGAAAACTGTACTTATAATACATATGAGCTGTTAAAGGTGTACCAGCCATCCTTCGGCTCAGGTACATTCAGCCAACCCCGTACGTGGTCCCCTATGATGTTTACAAACCAGAACGCGGTCCGACGACTTTTCATTTCTCAACATATCTCATTATATGGCTGCTGACTTCAACTGCCTCAGACTCAAAGGAGTTACTTCCCTTCCCTATCATTTTCGAAGCTGAAAGCCATCTTCTTAATATAACTGACACAAACATAACTGTACAGCAATCGAATGTGACTAGTTTAATCTCATGGTTAGGCGTAAAGCTGATGGATACTTATGTACGCAGATTGCGTTGCTGACATCACAGCGAACACAATGTACAGGAAGTTACTCACGATCCCAGCATGGAATATGTTTAACAAAACAGACAATACTTGATTTGTTTCACACTTTATTTGAAAAGTGTATATTTATTATCTAAATGGACATGAATCGTTTCATTCACAAGTTTGTCTACAGACACTGAAGAGATCTTGTACAATAAATAATAACATCGAACAATATGGGGAATGACGTTTTAAATTGAGCTAATTGTTTGAAATTTGCATAGAGTAATTGATTATAATCATATAATATTTATAATGTCTACTTGAAGCAATGACAAATTAAATACACCACTGGCCATGTGACATCTGTCGTGTGTGACGTATGACAGGGAGATGCAAGAGGAGGCGAGTCTGACGATGCGTACAGCTTCCATGGTGCAGCTGTCAACGATCATCAGTTCCATGTGGAAGTAGTTCCACCCGGAACAAATACTGACAGTGTAAATGTAGCGTGGAAAACTGTTCCTCGTACAACTGTTCCATAGCTACATTCGTCACATGACAGCGGTAATGTGCGGTATCGGTGACACGGACGCTGATTATGTCTTAACGCGTTATCAACTGTCCCCGAATTATTCGAAACCGTAAAAGACCAAGCGAAGTTTGACCACTCATACAAGATAAGCAAAACTCTGAGCTGCTTTCATAGCATTAGCCGAACTTACTGACACTCACACAGGTCTTTTTCAGTTATCTCATTCGAAGGTAATTAAGCAAGTTCTGTTTCTACTTGATCTATTTAAGAAGTCCGATGCACCGTTGATCCCATTGAAAAACTGGAAGTCATGACGTGACGGTTCTAAATTGTCTATAAGGTGAAGTATGTTTCAAACGTCACATTTGTATATCTTTAACAATGAATGTACAATGCAAATGGAAGTAAAATGTCACATGTTCTTGGGAGAGAGAGAGCTTACATAACTACTCTCCAACTATGCGGTGATATTGACGGACACTGTTGAATTACGGATTTCTCGAGTACTGTCGTCTTCTTGTCGACATTTTGACGCTCGCTGGTGTTAGTCTGTCGCATAGCCTCAGTGTAAGTACCAAGCCAGCAACAGGCATATATGTGCCCTTGACGTTAGTCCCTGTACACACTTCTGTCAGAAAGCTCCATGCTGGCATTGCATACTTAACAAGTGATTGGGTGATCTTAAAAAAACACTTTCATTGGATGCTTAGTTGATGACGTCATAGTCCGACTTCATCAAGCTCCCTCGTCATCTGGCATACTGCACACGGTTCACAACATAAAGCTGTCCAAAAATCCTGAAGAATTGAGCCCTGAGAATAGAGAGACAATGTGAGCATGAATTAATGAACATGAGGAGTGAGTGAGGCAGTTACTGACATCACCCTTTTTCTCTTTAACTCACTTCAATACCATAAAACAAAACTTTCCGACAAAACAAAACTGTGACGTGGAGAACCTAAACACATTTCAATCACTCTTCTAAAGCTTGAACCCTTGAAGATCCGGGGTTGAATGGGCCTTCAGCAACCAATGCTCACTTGAAAAGGCTACTATGACATAACTTATCATAAGAGTTGACTAACGAGATCGGGTGGTCAGGTTCACTGACTCGCATGTCATCGTATCCCAACTGCCTAGATCGATGCGCATTATGTCAACCACTGGACTTGATTATTTACAGACCGACGTCAAATAGCTGGAATGTTGCTGAGTGCGGCGTAAGGCGACAAACAAATCCAAAGCTTGATCCCATTCTACAAAGCGAGCTAAGCCGTAAGGTGATCGACACTCCCATACTTCAACATTGGTTTTAATCATCGTAGCGCTAAGATCGCTTTGTGAAAGGGCCCTGGTCATTATTGTTGATTTCAGACAGTGTGTAATTTATTCTGCTTCCGGTTCCGATGTGTATCTGTTTTTATATTTACTGTTTGCATAACTAAGATTGTTTCATTAGACTAGGGGCGGTCGGGTAGCCTAGTGGTTAAAGCGTTCGCTCGTCACGCCGAAGACCCGGGTTCGAATCCCGACATGGGTACAATGTGTGAAGCCCATTTCTGGTGTCCCCCGCCGTGATATTGCTGGAATATTGCTAAAAGCGGCGTAAAACCAAACTCACTCACTCACTCACTCATTAGACTACCGTTGTTGGCGACATAATCTTGGTGCGACCAAGACAGTTTGCTGAGGACTCAGACAATCCCACAGCGCGCGCCGGGGTCGACGCTAAATACAGAAGCACGTGGCGTAAGTCAAGTAGCAGCTACTGAATAGAATACTACGGAAAGCAATATGCACTAGTGCTTACTTTGATGCTGAAGAGCGTTCTGACTTTGACTCTAAGGGCGAAGGCTGCGCAAGGGATGAGTGACATGAAGGGGGTCTCCCCGACCCTGGTGGCGATGATGTACCGGTGATACACCCAGCAGCAGCTCATCATGCAGCCTGCAACAGATCATAGGCTCGTACAGTCTTGTTAGTCAGTAATGTGTTTACGTCGCATTTAGCTATATCCAAGGAATATCACTATTACATTTGGGGAATCCAACCCAGGTCTTCGGCATGTCGGGCCAACCACTCGGGTAGCCCTCCGCCCTTAAATGTGATATTTAGATGCATTGTTATGATATGAGGAACAGCATTTTAATTATTCCACATTTATTTGGTGCTTCGCCATTTTTCACGGGCCAGAAAAGTTCCAAATCCAGAAAAGTGTTTGACGCAGTTCTGTTTGATCAACTGTTTGATGCAGTTCTGACAGCTACTGCTGATACGTGGAAAGGTACACAAACGCTTGGTCTCTGAAAACATAATTTTGATAGAAACAAATAACCCCATTTAAACTGAAAAGGAGCCCCAGGGTGATACAGAACCTGAAGAAAATCTCGACATGCTTCACTTAGGGCTTTTGCATTACAGAACGGGGTGGGCGGAAGGGAAAATAATATGGTTCAGGCACTGAGAGACAGACAAGTGGAAAGGCTGCGTACAGTTCCGTCTGCCTTTGCTGCACTGGCACAGCCCTGACGTCCATTCCCGTTCACTGCAGGAATCGTCCGCGGGCATCAACAACTGGACACGGGTCAGTTTCTTCGGCGTTGGTCGGGGTTGTGACGTCACAATGGAAGTTTGGTCGGGGGTGGTTGGAGTAGCGGTAGACCTCTCGTCCAGATCATTGTCGACTTCAGTCGGGGTTCGACTCTGGTTCCAGGCCTCTGGGGAAGTTCGACCATCCACTGCACACAATAACACCAAAAATAGAAAATTAAACATTTAGTAAAAACTCGATAAAAATAGTTGTTGTAAAGGAATGAGGCCGCAGCTGGGTAAACGTTCACATGATACGAGATAAAGTGACAGAAGTCCAGAGGTCGCGGTCACACACTTCACAACTGTTTATTTGACATCAAGATGAGTATGTCTGATATCTTCCATCAGAATGTAAGATATGTGTTTTTCATGGCTCTCTGGGTGGTAGCAGGGACAGACAGATATCGAGCTTTCATGGTTCCAGCTGGACTAACATTTAGTCTATGAAATCTTATATTACACAAAACCCTTCTTGACTCTAAACATAAAAAAAAATTCCCTATGCTGATTGTAGAATAGAGCTAGCTAGAGCTGGCTAGACTTTTGTATACGTTTTCAAACTGTGTTTTTTTCTCAAAAATTAAATATATTTCACAGTCATGGTGCAGGACTAGGTTCCAGCCAGTGTATGGAGTTCAGGAATATCACCTAAAATGAATATTACCCTAACAATATGATGTGTATGCAATATACGTATTGTGTGAAGACACATATAACATATAACAATGAGGCACTTTCATACTGCATGCATTGGAAGGCAAATGATCCACGACCTGCATACCGGGTGCGGCGGACGTTGACTAATCCCAAGGCAGGTGAGGAGGAGTGAAGACTTGTGCTCCAAGACGCGACCAGGGATGCAGATAACGCTACTGGACAGTTCCGACTAATGGATAACAATGAATCTGCATGCTCAGCTCAAAAGAGATTATTACTGTATTAATTTTGGACAGCACTAAACCTTTAGCATATGGCGTCCTACGGGATGTGCTACCAACCCACACCAGAGGAGTTAAAGCTGTCACTTGTTTGCGAAAAACACTCAAAGCCACCCTCTTGAAAACAGCACGCTACTAACATTCCTTGAGCGTCTTGTACGAAAAGGCACTGGAACTAAGGAAAGTTTAAATATTTTCATTTCAGTGTCATGATTTTGTTTATAAAATCTTAATAACAGACAAATGGACAGACAGGTGTTGCTATTCCAGGGGCGGATTCATGATTTAAAAAAGGAGGGGGTGGGCACTTGTACCTTCAGTGGGGTGGGGTTGTGGGATGGGTGGAAGAGTCCACCCCCAAAATTGAAACACGATATGTAAACTATCATAACGTTTACTTTCACGACCAAATAAACATGTTGTCATGGCAGGTAACATATTTTTGTGAGTTACTGTATTTAACAGAGACGTAACTACTTCTGTGCAACCGTCACCTGGCATGTCGCTTCCCTGTCAGCTGTATTCAACAAATGGCCCCCTCCTTCTCACTGAACTTCCCACAACGACAAGCACCGGCCTTCATCACCCATAAATACCCACGGTGCTAACAGTCATCTGACACCGGCAATACTCTGTAAGTCATCTGAAAATCAACTTGGCCTTTGATCCTTGCCTCAAAGCATTCAGTGTGCTTGTTGCCCAATATTACATGAGAGCGCGGCGGATGCAAGCTTATCGCCGTCTCACGCCATGCTGGGAGTCAAACCCCAACGCTTTTAAAAATTGGGACGAAATAAAAAAAATCTCATCTTCCGAATATTTCGCAGAGAAATGTTAAATTTCGATAAATAATGCGGAAATACATTGTTGCTGAATATCTTTCAGTATACAGATCTGGGGCGACCAAGGATGTTAAAGTCATTATGATTCAGTGTTTATGTATGTTGTTTCAAGTCTTTAAATGGCATTTAGAAGTGATACACACAAAAGAGAAATTGTATGGATGTCAACTTCTCTATTATGAGGAACACAACGTTTCGGAGTATACTTACTCCTTCACTGGGTGAATGAATGCTAGGATACAGAGATGCTAGAGGCTAGGAGGTAAATTAGTACTGATTGGAAATGAGCAATGGACGAATGGAAGCGAGTGCAAATAAAAAACACCTGTTTCTATGGCAACTACATAGATAAGATCTTAAGACGAAGCTATTCACTGTTGTTCTGCGTCATCAACGCGAAACTGCCTCTAGCAAAGAAATAGAACTTATTTTCCCGAGTGTGCACACACTTTCAACATGGTATTTTGTCTGACATTCCGTACTGAGAGCTAAGTCACCGTGCACCTTCTCGCCAACGCGCGTGGTAAAGGCATCACACACACAGATCATGCGTAGTAGAATCTGTTTCAGGAACGCGGAGGTATAAATGTGACAAGGTACTGTTCCAATTTCTTGTACTAGTAATGGACACATAAACATACCGCAGTATGTAACAATATAACACTGCCATTAACAGAAATGAATTGATTAAGCTTTTGTGTGACAGAAAACAATCAATAACACACGCGTGTTCGTACGTTTGCTCACATGTAATTCATTATCTATTTACAAAAAGTGTACATGAACCCCATAACATACCCCAAGACCCCCTTAGCTTAATACTGACCGATTCCGGTTGCCCTGGCGACAGTACTCCAGTTGCTCGGGACGATGACCCAGAAGCACACACATCACTTTGTTAAATGAGAAGTGTCGAACCGGACAAAACGAAACAAATATATTCACCGTTGCTGAAACTACTATTATACCATAGGTCATGGGCTATCATTTGATGATTAAATCCATTTTTGAACTTTAAGAAGGGATGCATGACATTTTATGAAAGATCACATGGCAGACCGAATCAGCTTCACATTGGACACAATCCGACATTTATCATGTGTGTTATGACGCCCCTAAAACAGTCGGGATTCTGTCCAGTTGTACGACATGCAGGATGTGGTTTGATCCCAACACATACCGCTATCCATAAAGTGACACATATCCCCGTGAAGCAGCTCCAAAACCAGCATTGATATAGTGTACAGTGTAATTTAGTATATATTCTGCATGAGGTCATGGTGATGGGCGTTAAACTGATAGCGTACGCTGTTCTGAGTGGTGCTAAGAGATGCAATGACGTCACTGTCCACTACAGTAGCGTCAGGGATCAGTGAATGACGCCTGGTGTTGAGGTAATTTGACATTCTTATTACATACTTATTCACCCGTTCAATAAACTTTAAAGCATTATTATTCGACCAAACATAAAAACCCTATTTTACTATTTACATTGTCATAAATATAGTATATAGTATATAAACTTGCACACTCTGCCTTCTTCATGTCAGGAATCAAACAAGATGATGGACATAAGTCCATAAAATTTAAGTTTACGACACAATTGGGTTTCATTATACTATGATTAAAGTTTGTTTGAAGAAAGAAACATATTGTGCATGTGTTAATCCATGTGAAAATATCTATCATTATATAATTGAATGTAAACTATTAAACAAATAAAAGTATTCCCGCATTTGGATCAGTTATATCATGAAATGTGCATTTTCTTCAGTGGCAATGCAGATACATAATTATACACAAACGAACACATTTGCAAAGAAGAAGACTCAACTTCATTCCAGATACTTTATAAGAGAGCATGATGAAAAGATAATATCATACAGGGCATACAGGATAGTTAAAAATGAAATAAAATAAGAACCCTATCTCAGTTACTGTGAAATAAGAAAATATCGAGAGCAGTTTTCTAGGCTAGGATTAAGTAACCGTAAATTAAATATTGAACGTGGAAGACATACAAAGCCACCAACCCCACTACATCAGAGGCTATGCTCTACATGTTCAACCATTGATGATGAAACACACCACATACTTCACTGCACCAAACACACTCAAGACATATACTCTTTGGAAAAGTATCCACACAAAATGTAAATGTCCACAGTCATGAAAACAAATTATTTCACTACATCCTCTAAAATATTGAAGCCATCAATATCAGTTGCATTTGTTTTCATGTATATCACTTCAAGCAATAAATACCCCTTGATCGTAATGAACCGATGACATTTATGTATAATATCATCAAACATGTATGTATGTCTGTATATATGTATATATGAATCATAATGTTTTGTCATTTTAAAAAAATGCACCTGTCCCGTAATGGAATGTTTCTGCAATAAATCGAATCTTATCTTATCTTACCAGTATGTAAATAGTACTGGTTTTACTGACAGAGCATTCGTGTATTTCTTTTGTTGTTGACACGTTTCGTCATCTCTAATAAACACACATCTTAATAACATCTTCATTAAAGTATTAAACTGATACAACCGATTGTCGTATTATCTTTCTGAATATGGACGGCTTGCCAACTCAACATTCTTTCTTCTTAACCCCAAATCAGGCCGTTCTGTGGTGCCGCTAAGTGCAGGCGACGACAGGCCCGAGGCAGTGCCAGCACACACACAGCTGTCCAATATACCATACCATATTTGTGTTAATGTCAAAACACACATCATATGAACGAGGCGAAACACACATGGGTGCGAAATGTTGGCCCCTCTCCCTGTGGTAGAATCACTGAGAACGGTGCGTGTGTACATCCTGCCCCATCACCGCATAGAAATACACGTCCGCTGTCGGCAGGGGGCACGCACTGAACCACTAGTGAGAAGAATATTTGTCTTACCACTCATTTCTTGTATAAATTCCTCAAATTACGGATCCAACTTTTGATGTACAATTCCTTTAAGCGTCCTGCTTTAGAACCTTTTGTCTGCGGTTAGTTACTGGTCAGAACCCTCTCATAAGGCTAGCGTTGTGGTAGAGGGTAAATTAGGTGAAGTACTTGATACTGCCACAGTTTCGAAGCTTCACGCACACTAAAATCGTCTCAATTACTTTGGCCCAGTTCAGAACATACCAGCAACCGGAAGGAGAGTCTGCGATTGCCTCGCACGTGAGCGCGTGCGCCAGCCATTGGGTACACCTCAGTACACAAGAGAAGGCTGGTATGTATTGCACCCCGGTGTGTGAAAATGTTCCTCTGTAGGTTGGTCGGGCGTTAATGAGGGAGGTGTTATGTTCTCAAACAAGACTCGTCACAGTAGCCGCGGTGCTTATCTTTGAACTATTTTATCTATCCGACATATTTGGATGGTTCCCATTTATCAAGATTGTCCGCTAACGCCGCTCAGATGTTGCTGTACATAATGATGTACTTGGTTGTCATGAATGAAAGACCCCAGTTGGTTCTAGTAGGGCGGCCCTCCACCAAAGAGGAATGTCAGTGTTTTGGGTGCCTTATACCCATATTCGTATTTATGTTTCCATTATCTTGTCACCGAATGTTGCTAAACTTAAATCTAGGCAGATAAAGACCGTGTTAGAAGTTGCATACAATATCTTATAATATCTGTTTTGAGGAATGAAGACGATTGAAGGCATTTAGGTTGCTGGCTACTCTCTTCTCTCTCTCTCCCAACCCGCCCACCCCTCCCCTCACTGCAGTCTTCTGAAAATGAAGAGAGTCTCTGAGCTCCTTGTTTTCACATTTCACTGACAACATTTAGCAGCTGTTTTTTTTGTAAGGATTATCATTTCAGAGAGTCTAAAGACACGATGCCATCTTGCAAAAAGACCGTTATTATACCACACATGAATTTGAAACACGTTACACAGAGTGAGCAGTAGTCCAAACCGATTAAAACCTGTTCCTGTGACATAAAGTACGGGGGAAATGCGTTGTTGGTCCCCTACTCTACTAATGTTCTCTTATAAAGTGGCACAAGGCAGACATAATATTCGAACTGATGATCTCAGATACTTATACTGTTTCAGTGCTTTACATTACTTACGCGGCGATGCAACATTGCTGTTTCGTATTTACAAGCAAAGCACAGCATACGTGCGATATGTCAGACATTTCTGGAATCTGGAACATATGTCTGATTCCACCTTCCCCACGTGGTTGTCTGTTGCTAGTCTGTCTGCCCCCCCGGCGGCCCACAAATGTGTTTTCCCATGTGTTCATAATTACCCTGCAATGCAATATGACAGTGTTGCGGAATTGCCCTATTTCAATGTAGTTTTGTTCTGTATATAAACGTATCGTGTTACTCGTGATCAAAGAATTCCATTATCTTAAAGTTTTCTTCTAACATGTAGAATTTGTGTTGTGAAGTACAGCAGCCAGCACCGGTGTGACAGATATACAAGATATTCCAGTAGGTGAATGGGAAGATCACTTTAAGTCTCTGAATAATTCTGTTTCGGATTCACTAAAAACTCTTAATATTTTTTAATATCCACTATTATTAATCTTTTGAATGATATTAGCATGTGCAAAAGATGTTAACGTGCTCCTTTTTCAAACTTTACGCTCTCCTTTGTCAACACAAACAATGCTGGTGTAATTGCCGAACACGAATTAACTGAAAAAAACCAAATCAACTCGGAATATGTTCTGCGTTTTAAAATGAGGCGTTTGAATGATCGAAATACGATTTATATCTGACAGTGATGTCTTTGCAAGTTCCCTTGAAATTGTTCGTTCAATGTGGACTACCCCTCAGTTTGATTGTATGCTTATAATCCAACAACAGAAACAACGCACATCGAAATACCCGACCACTGAGAGCGTAAAGAAAAGCATATGTATTGACAATTAAATGCACTTATTTGTTTAATCCGGGAAAGGAAATAGTAAATAATTTTGCATGATTTTCAGAAAAATTCGCAAGAAGTCGCAGTGAGGGATTAGAAAAAGATCACTTGTCACCGTCCTACGAATGAACCCTTCAATCTCAATACACTGATGTCGACGCAAAGAAACTACGAAGAAATTTAATCCCTTCTTGTGGACTTTTCCAAAGCTATTGGCTCAAATTGAAAAGATGGTTTAGACATAAATCAATTAATTATGGTTTAAATGGAAATATCTTCAATGTCTTAGTATGCACTCTGAAATTAGCTATTCTGTCAAAAAAAGAAGGGTGTGATTGAATCCATCCCATCATACACAAGAGGATAGCAATGTGTGTGTAGTCCCACACATCTTTATATGAATCACCTCAAAGATTATCTATCCTTCTGTGCCTTTTCAAATCTTCAATTAAATGGTAAAGATGTTGCCTACCTACTATATGCTGGTGATCTTGTATTGTTATCACATTCTACAAAATGTCAATAAACTAGTGTTGACAATCCTTTAATCTTCGGTGATGACAGGAAGTTGAATATTAACCTCAGCAAACCTAAATTGTTGTATTGACTTGTTTTAGTCTTACACATTTTAGGGGTATCACTTCACCGGAATGGATCCCTCAAACAAGCTAACGTGAGAGGAGACGTCAGGCATGGTTTGTTGACTGGCCGAAATAGCTTGACAACAGATACTTAATTACAAGCAGAGTCTTTACTATTAATGTACAGGGCCTATGTGATGCCACCTGCCACATATGAATGTGAAGTACGGGGAGAGCAGATCTCCACTAATACAGGCATACGGAACAAGTTGCTATGTAATAATACCCTTATGAAGATTACAAAGACTCGTCATAAAGTGTCAAGATGAACAAGCAACTTTGAGTGAACAAGGACTATTTCCCCCTTTCGATAAATATCTTCACCACAATGTTTAAAATATTATATCCTGATGAAACAATTTGATAATAGCAAACATGTATATGCTGCTATGACGGAGGAAGTGTCGTTTCAGGGGACCAACTCAAAACGTTCGTGTCAGCATAAAATGACAACGATTATTCATTTTCAGTCTGACAAGAATGGCATGTTAAAACTCAAGATAAATGAATTATTGCACAACACATATATTGACATCTACTATAATGGTACATCGCAATCTACAGCACACGACAAAACACACTTGCTGAGAATTGTGGGAACAAATAGTAGCACATTTATGAAATAATATCTGATGTTAGTTCAGTCAGAAACAAGAACCATGGGTAGGCTTGGATCATATGGCCTCTCAGTGCCCAGCAAGCGGAAACTGTGCCACCCAGGAGAGGCTGGAGATGAACACCACTTCTGCCTAACTGCTCTCTCAACACTACTTTAAGCTTAAGTTATCATTTCCAGCTCATAACTCCAAAAGGAATCACTGTTTTAGAATCCCCACTAAGCCCATCTTGTTCATCCCTCATAGCCCATTCAAAACACAGTATGTTTGAAATGCGGTAAGATCCCTAACTTTGTGGGTTCCAGCACAGTGTCATTACTACACACTCTGACATTGCTTTACTAATTTTGACTACTGTATCATATATTTCTGACTGTTATAATGTATAATGTGTTTAATTTGCTTCTGTACCCCTAGTGGGTGTATGTATATGTACACTCGCATTTATTTTATCATATCTTATACAGGTGCAGAATGTCTGTGGACACAGGAATGGATACAGCTTTAGTTCCTCTGATATGTCTTCTGACAGTCACACGCAACTTCTATCAGTTTCGTTTCGCAACATGGGTTGAAAGATCATGAGCAAGCGAAGACGTACATGGGTATAGCTAGGACACCCAAAACACTGACATTTAAGGGGGGTCAATTTAAGTGTACACACGTTGTTTAACATCACAGCCACTCGCTCAGTGACAGGCCAGTAGACGGTTTAACTCATGTTGAACAACTGCACTGAGAAAGACGGGTATTGTGAAGCGCTCCTACAATCTCCCGTATGACACTGTGAAGGATGTCTGCATCATACAGACACGGGCGGTATTTCGTAAGATTAACATTTCAATAGTTTACTAAAAGGAGCCCAAAGAATCCCATCTTTTCCAGAACTGATGAAATCTGGACTTGCACGAATATTGTGGACTTGCTTGGGTATTTTCGGAATTTCTGATTTTGGGATCTTGTTTGGCTTATTTGATGAACTAATACTGGATCAGAGTTTTAGAGAGAGTTAGATAATGTTTACATATCCATAACCTCTTTGTCACTGTGAGCGGGCATGTGTCTGTGCTGTTGTCTTACCCACTGAGTGAAGACAGGTGTTGATATACACAATCGGTAGGTCAGAAAGGTGGCGTCAAGGCTGACCTCGTTTTATTCGCTTTGACTGGATAACCGTCATAATTCCGATTTGATTCTAACTGAAAGGTGACATTGCTCTTCGTTTGAAGCCGTTTAAACTTTCGAGATTTTTTATTGTTTTTTTTTTCAGTATAGGGTAGTTCAATTAACATGGACGTTCTTGGCAATCAACGGTAAGGATAACATACCAAAAAGACATTATGTAAATTCTGCTGATAGTTTAGGAAACCGAAACATGTCTAATGCTCAGCGGGGATATCGTCGGAATGTATTTATAAATGAGAGACCTCCACTAACCCAGCGTTGACTTGTGGTATGTCAGCTTCAGGCAGTATATAGAAGTATAGTATATTACTCTTTTATGGAATCTAGACAGGGATTCCAACTCACGAAGAGCAACATGTCTGCATGAATATAATTAATGACATCATTTGTGTAAGTTATCCCCTGTCGTCACAAGTTGTCGACTATAGTGTGTATTGGGTAGATGAGAGAAGTCCCTTGTGTTAACAATCATACCTTTTAAGAGGTATTAACTATGCATGTTATTACTATGTATGACCACACACAAGATGGACCAAACACCGTGCCCTTCGTTATAATTTTAATACAGTTCCTCGTGAACTACAAGATGCTGATTTGGATATAAATTGATCATTAACAAACCTACACGGCATGAAGTCATTCAGCGGTTTCATTATTGAATGGTTACAGTCACCCCACCAGCATGTCTGTGCCTTGGTGTCCGATGCCTGGAGCCGTGAGTTTAGCCCGCTCGAGCTGGAAGAGCTCCGGCATCAGATGGAGCCAGAAGGAGACACGTTTAGCCTGCAGGTGATGCTCCAGGGTCATGTTGGTGGTGAAGGAGATGTAGGCTTCATCCTGGACGTCAAACTGTTTCCATGTACCACCCAGGGGAAGCTGCACGGCTGAACTGGGATTTCTACAACCAAACCACCCCCTGTATACCAGGATATATCCGCTGTCATAATATATCACTGGTAAGATTCTTGTTAAGTTGATTATTTATCGCCGAATTTATTACCGGAGTCAATGAATTACATTTTCGATTGATACCATTATCTTTTGCCGAATATTGAGAAAGCTTGACATTTTCTGAAAGAACCCGGTAATACAAACATGTCTAAAATACCAGTGATAAGATATTATTGATGACAGCTGTGAGTGATGTCCCTTCTGCAGAATCACATCATGGCTTACATGCCTTGTGTGGGTTTTGTCTGAAATATTAACCTCAAGCTTCGCAAATATTTTGTTCGCCATGTCCGTCCTATATTTAAATACTCTAGGGATTCCTAAACAGAGGAGTTCAGTATTCCTGACACATTTCTGTCAACACTTAACTCCACGAAAAAGTCATTCCGAAACATCTTGCTGGACTCCCTATTTCAGAAATCGATGTAAAATGTTTAGCCCTTGTCAGTATTGACTGGCTACTAAATTGTCACTGCGTGTGAAACGGGAAGAGAGTTTGTATATTATCAGTTTGAAATATATTTTAGGAAATAAATGTGAACAAATAATTAAAGGATCAATCAATGTGTAACTAGTGCATAACTGTGTGTAATTCTTCATGTACCTACCCGGTTTTAGCAAACGCCGTCAGGAAGTTTACAAATGTGTTTGACAGGGTCTGTTCATCCTTTGTGATGGGTCCGAAAAGTCCGAAGAGGGATACTGATGTTGAACTGAGGCCAAACATATATGGAAGGTCGAATGCATGGTACATTCCCTGTGTGCCACTTCCTGCAGAGAATGATGGGTAATGATTGAAATAGTAGAAATAGGTTTTGCCCCTCCCGCCATGTTTTCTGTTGTCGGAGTGTCGCCGGGCATACGCGACTGCAGGGGCGACGAATGAGACATCACCGTAAGTGTGGAGAACATCATTGATATCGAGGGTTTTCTGGTTCTCTGTTCGCGGTGACGTGTACTCGTATGATATGACGGCAGCCAAAATGGCGTCATACTGTCCATAAGTTGACTTTAAGATGTTGGGAATGAGTGTTTTGTCATAGACGTATGTGGAATTCAGTGTTTCAGCAGTGGACGTGTTATCACGAGCATCAGAAGATCTAGCGTTCTCAAGCAGTAGCCCGCCCTCGTTGTTATTGACACCAACCAATGCGTCCATGTCATAAAACCCAAGATCTGTGAGGTACGTTACGTTCTGGATCAAGGTAGCAGGATCTCCTCGCATGAAATTTCCATCAACAACAGGCCCCGAGTCCATGGGATCCGTCGCTTTGAGAAGAACACCAGCAGGTAGGCCTCTTAGACAGGCAACGGTCTGCTTGTCTGTCGCCATCCCAGAACAATTCACGGCTGAGGAAATTTGGTCAAGCTTCTCTCTATATTTTTTGTCATTCGCCCAATATGCTGTGGCAGCTCCACTCTGCATTATAGCTCTTTTGAACAGTCCCTTGGACACAGGAGACAGGGTATGGAGAGACACGCTAGCTGACCCCGCAGATTCCCCGACAATGGTGACACTGTCAGGATCTCCTCCAAATGATCCAATATTTTTCTGAACCCATTCCAATGCCAGAACCTGGTCCAGTAACCCAAAGTTACCCGGAGCTTCAGCGTTGCCTGTGGAGAGGAATCCAAACACACCCAGTCTGTACTGGACAACCACAACGATGACGTCCTCCTCTGTCACCAGCTTCCACGGTTCATACAGTGGAGCACCGCCTGTCTTAAACGATCCACCATGGATCCAAACCATAACAGACTTTCCAGAACCTCCGGGTGTTGGTACATGGACGCCTAACGTCAGACAGTCCTCGCTCGAAGGAATAGTCAAAATGCCGAGGCCAAAACCTTGCTGACTACAAACCGGGCCATACTGTGTGGCCTGCCAGACTTCTGTAACACCTGGATGTGGACTCGGCGGTCGGAACCGAAGTTTTCCAGTTGGAGGGAGAGCATATGGTATGGCATAATAGGCGTTGTACGTCTTACCGGTCGGTGAGGTTTGGGTGACTCCTTGAATCTTACCCCAGGGGCTTGAAATAAGAGGAGCAGCCTCTGCATAACATAGTAAGAGGAGAAGATATAGAATACACTGTGTCATTCCCGAGATACTTGTACGACACACACCTGAATGGTACCGCTCTCTGCTGATAACCTATCAGTACCGGTGACGTTTCTTATCTTTCTCTAAAAACAGAATGTGCTCAATCATAGTTCAGCGGACTATGTATCTAGGGGAGGAGTATTCGCATAGTAGTCGGACTAATTGTGTGCACGATCCGCTCGTGAAATACACTTGTGAAACACTCGTTTCAATAAGACTTCTACAAGTCTCTTATCCAGAACCTGCAACAAACGTTTCGTAAAATGCCCAAGCAAGTCTACAATACTTTGGCCAGATTATGTTAAATAGCAATAACAATACTTCTTTCATTTCAGATAATAGACGTAACATATTCAGCCTTTATGTAAAAACTGACTCCAACGGGTGAGCTCATTACACTGCTAACCTTCACAGAGCGAGGTCCGTACGTAGGAAGGTTCACACCCCAAGGAATGTTTCGTTATAACACTGTTACATAAAGTGCGAGTGACCTAAGTGAGAGATAACATGGACGTATGTATGCTCAAATGCCTTTCAGTCCCCAGTAACTATATTTGTAGATTTAACAAATTTCATAAAAAGGTGATCATTTCTGTTCAGAATGACTCCACAAATTATTTATATTGTATGTCATTGTACTGGCTTCAATAAACGCAACGGGGGAGTAATTTTAAGTGTTGCCACTAGTGGAATAAGTTTTGTTGACGTTTTGGCACTAAGTCCCAGTGCGGTATCCTTTGATTTGGAAGCCTATTAATGCCACAGAAAGTACCATCTACGTAGGTGAAAGTATCATCTACATAGATACCCCTCTCACCTTATAACGAACTACGGTTATTACGAACAAAAATTAGTGGTCCCTTTGAGTTCGTCACAACCGTATTAAAGAGAGTGGAGCACAAAATGTTCTATACTATATTCTAAACTATACTCAACAACAAAAGTTCCTGTGACACCAATATTTTAGTGTATTTTTCAAACAAGTAAAGTTTGGTTTTCAATATTGTAGACACGTATGGAATCAAGTCACAAAAAAGCAACTGCTACAGAAAAGCATGCATTCCATGCAAAAGCTGACTTTTATGCAAGCCCCATGCATTTCACTACCCAAGAATGGGTATAAAAACATGTGGGTTAACGGGATTCCATGTGCATTGTTTAGCATCGAGCTGACAACAACCACTCACAAAAACAACAAAATGACGCAATTATTCAACATTACGAAATGCCACTCCTGTCCGAAAATGAGTGTCTCCGAGGCATTGGCAGGGACGAAGCAGGATCGAGTCAACGTGATGTTGCAAGACAATTTAACGTCCACAGAAACACCATTTGGTGTTTATGGCAACGTTGGCAACAGACGAATGCAGTCAGAGACCATCCTCGGAGTGGCAGGCCACACATAATCAATAGTCGACAGGACAACTGGATTCGAGCAACACACCTACGAAATCGATTCCAGCCAGCAACAGTGACTGCAAGAAGCATCCCTTGCCTTCGACGAATATCTTCACAAACCGTACGTCGTCGCCTCAGATGTGCAGGGATTGTCGCCAGAAGACTCGTCAGACGTCCCATTTTGAGAGGAAACCACCGTCAAGCACGTCTGCAGTGGTGCAGACAGCGTCTACGCTGAAAGGTCATGCAGTGGGGACAAGTTCTATTCACTGACGAGTCTCGTTTTCACCTCAGCCACAGCGATGGACGGATTCGAGTGTTCCGACGTCGAGGTGAACGTTACGTCAATCATTGTGTCATGGATGAAGATCGATTCGGGGTCGGCAGCGTTATGGTATGGGGTGGGATTACAGCAAGACAGAGAACCCATGTGATAGTGGTAGAGGGAAATCTCAATGGACAGCGCTACCGCGACGAGATCAACGGCCCTGTTGTTTTTGCGTCGTCATGGCCCAGACATTACCTTTCAACATGAGAACGCTTGCCCTCATGTTGCTCGATCGTCACGATATGGCTGAAATATTGCCGATGTGACGTTGAGCTTTAACTCACTCACTCACTCATATTGCTCGACGTGTTCAGGATTCTCTTCAACGAAACAACGTGAATGTCATCCCCTGCCCGGCTCGCTCCTCTGATCTCTCACCAATCGAGCACATGTGGGATGAGATGGATCGGCGCCTTCGACGTCAACCACGTGTTCCACAGACACCCCAGGAACTTCGAAACATGCTCCAGCAGATATGGACAGATATCCCACAGGACTTTGTGCGACGCCTGGTCCATTCCATGAGACGAAGATGTGTTGCTTGCATCGCAACCAGAGGTGGACACACGCGCTATTGATTTGTAAATTGACATTTAGGCATGTTAATGTGTTTTATGAAATCACGCATTTTCTGAAGTCAGTATGGCAAATTAAACCATTTGAACACTAACAGGAGTCTTTTATCTGTTGCAAACCGAAATTGTTTCAGTTTGGTAAAAAACATAACTTTGCATTAAATCTTATTCAATGTCACAGGAACTTTTGTTGTTCAGTATACAGACAAATGAACAACTTTAGGTCATTATTCAAAGTTTTAGCCACAAATAGGTATCGACCATCGACATTCTCCAGTAACAAATTAAAATGACGATTTACTTCGTGCAGTGTTCAGGTGGTACCTCAATGAAGTCATGACAAGGTAGAACGTCAAACACATCGGTCATTATTAATTAAACCAGCGGTTATACATCACTGACCCGGAACCAGTGTTGAGAAAATAGTGTTACCTCATTGGAAAGTATATTATACTTTTTTCAACGTAGATTATTATAGTATGTACGTAGATGAAAGTATGAAAGTATCTTCTATGTAGAAGTGAGTCGTGAGTAGTATCATCTTCGTAGGTTATAGTTTCAAGATGATACTTCTAATAAGCTTCCATAAAAATGTGAATATGAAAAGGTGAGAATCACTCTATAAAAAGAGTATAAAACTATAAAAAAAATCATCAAACCAACACTCGTCCAACCTATGAAACACTGAACTTACAATTCTCAGTTTGTGGTTATATTTTAGCGGTGATAGTTTGAAAATTTGAAATGATCTCAGTGTGTTGTCAAATGCAAAAAAGGCCAAATGAAAATAAACAACCAACATTGCCAAAACACTGAATTAAATTAAAAGTAGTTAAGTAATCATATTTATTTAAAATATAAATGCTTGTATAAACTAGTATCCACCTAATGTCGCAACTTCACAAGGCAATATCTGTCTGAGTAACGAGACGCACGGTTATAATATCACACACGGAGACAGTGCATCTACGTAGATTTAACTATCATCTACGTAGATGAAAATATTATATACGTAGATGATAAAAATATAAGACCGTGGCACTAATACTTCCATACATTTGGATACCTTCTGGATTCCTAATGCGTCGTCTAAAGCACAACTGGTACTATTACAATACTTATATTATCTAGTCCAGACTCGATTATTTACAGACCGCCTTCATATAGCTGTGATATTGCTGGGTGCACCGTTTACCAACAAACAAACAAACTACTATTAATGTATTGTATATATAATATACATATACATAGTATACTGAACCGCAAAAGAAACGTCACCATGGATAGATATATGAGAAACCTTATTTGTCCAAACACTGTAAACATAGTTTGAGACATATTAAAAAGATGAAACTTGGCAAAACGGATCATCAAGGTTGAAATTAAAGTGTCTCTGAGAAAATGACATCACAAGTCAGTATCTCGTGTGTCCGCCATGTGCATTGATGACTGCCGTACAACGTCGATACATGGAATGGATGAGGCGGTTGATGCAGGCCATAGGCACTTGAGTCCACACTCTGAGGAACGCCTGACGCAGTTCAGCTGCAGTTGTCGGCCTTGGTCGGACGTCATTCAGCCGTCTTTGAATCTCGTCCCACAGGTGCTCAGTGGGATTTAAATCGGGACTAAGGACAGGCCACTGCATGGTTCTGATGCCATTCTACTGGAGGAAGTCTCTTGCTGCTCTCGCAGTGTGGGCATGGGCGTCATCATGCTGAAACTCGTGGTTGCGGCGATGTGCCAAATGAGGTATGGCGTGTGGTCTCAAGACTTGATCAATGTACCGAGCTGCTGTGACACCATTGTCTCTCCCTGGACCGATGTTCTTCAAGACCACAGGGCCGACCCTCTGTGCAAGACCAATTCCACCCTACACCGTGATGCTCGGACCACCCCACGAGTCTCTCCCAACAACACAAGCATCCAAATAACGTTCCCCACGGCGTCGCCAGACGCTCTCTCTGCCATATGATGTTGAGATACAGTAACGGCTCTCGTCTGAGAAGAGGATTCTTCACCACTGCTGGTGGCGCCAATGCTGGTGCTGTGTAGCCCACTGGAGACGGTCCCGGCGATGACGTGGTGTCGGAATGGGTCCTCGGTGTGGCCTGTGACAGTAGAGGTGTCTGCTCGTCAATCGTCGACGTACGGTGTCCGCACAAATGTGTCGATGGTGTGTCCCCATGGTCTGTCGAGCAGTTTCCGCAGCAATAACAAAGCGATCTTGAAGATGCTGTCGCACAATCTGACGATTCTGACGTCGGGTGGTGACCCTTGGTCTTCCATTACGTGGTCGGTCATCAGGCGCCTGTATATGGTCCTCACGTGGACTTGAAATGCATTGGCTACTTGCCAGGCGGTTTCTTCAGCTTGCAATCGTCCAAGGGCTTGGTGTCGCTGATTTCTTGTCAGTCTTGGCATGTGGTAGCAATTCAATAACGAATGAATGTTATCCGACCTGTTTGGATTTTTATAGGGAAAGAAATGGGGGAACGCATGTGCATTTCATTTTGCACGGTTATCATGGCCGTTGCCGTGTAGCGTTTGGGCGATCGGTTTTATTGTCATCTGCTTTGTTTTTTATCATCAAATTTCAGTTTTCCGGACAAGGTAATGTTACATTTTAGAAACTTTGACAAAAATTACCCAGGTATTTAAATGTTAACTTTTCATGCAATGTTACTTTGGGTGACGTTTCTTTCTTTTGCGGTTCAGTATATATATATATATATATATATATATATATATATGTCTGG